TATTCGTCTTTGATTAGAATTATGATAACGGAATATTTTCAGTATATAGGTTGTTTCTATAATTTTGTAGAGGTAGGGGTGCTGCCATGATATAAATGTAAATTAGAAATGTTTTATAATACTTTGGCAGTGCGATCACATTACATTATTACCATGCTGATATGATATTTAAACATTATTAGCTGTATACATGGATAATTACAATGGCACATGTAGTCACAGGTAAAGCATAGTTTCAGGTAGATTCAAGCATATCACACCTGCCGGTTGAAATAACAGACCTGTGCTCTAAGGGGGTTAGAGGTGTGATCAAACACCACACAAGTTCTGTATTACCACTGTCATAATTATGCTGTAATGAGTTAATTGGATATTCCCAGGTAAGACCCACAGGTAAGAAAACTGTACCTGGTAATCCAATTCAATTCAGTTTATTGTTTTTAAAAAAGGCACATAATCACGTGGTTTTCACACCTGTATATTTTACCTGTGATTATCCGAACTACTCGGTAGTGAAGCGGACGCAAAACCTATCAATCAAGCACTGGACACGGTGTGTTTAGTGTGATGTACCTGTACCCAAATTTTAAAACTAAGCCGGCTAAAGGAGTGGATCGAGTTGCTTTACATTATTGAACCAAGATGTTAAATTATAACTTGTGTATATTACATGTATATGGAGAGAAAAAGTTTAACCTTCATAATTCAATTATATTTTCGAGATAAATATAATCACGGACTCAGATTATCTAAGTCCTCGATATAACTTAGCATCGCATCAATAAGTACTGTATTGTATAATGATATTCAATGTGTAACTGTCGGTATTTTGTTGTTTATTTGAATTGTCGACCTAACATAAGGACGACACAGTGTAGTCAATTTGTCATTAAACGGTAATACCGAAAATATGCTATACGTTTTTTTGACACTCAAACACAGAAGACACCAACGTTGAAGTTATTTGTTAACATTTTTCACTGATACATTTCCGTATATTTGGACTGTAATGGTACAGTAACTTTGCAATATATATAATC